TCGTGGGAATCCATCAGGGTCGATGTCAAGTGCGTACGCGGGTGCTATCCCAAGCTCTCTGCTTGTTCCTTTTTATTTATGTCGGAATCGGTTTACACGGCATGTATGATGAGCCGTGCGAACTTATTCTAGATAGGGTTGTGGTGATACTAATAATAGTACTAGAACATTTTGGCCTTGAACACGCTGCCTGCTACTTAACTTATTCGACTACCGAATCGAAAGACTTTGTATTGAGTAATTGATCATTCAGTTTATGCTGCCTTCCATAGAGTCGAGTACTATTCCCTGAATGCATATCAGCCATGTATTAAGAAACCATGGTACGTATCGAATATTCATTTATGAGCCTGGGCTCATCTGCTTGAACAGTAAATTCAAAAAAGATTTTAAAAAATATAAAATGTTTTATCATCCAAGGTACTCAAATGTGTGATGTCCATGCAAAATTTCATCGTTTGGACAGTAAAGTTTCGCAGAGACCACAATTTTGCTTTTCTTTTGTTGAAAACTACTCTAAACACCACCAAATTTGACATAACATCACGCACTTGAACATCTTTCATGCTAAAAAAATTCAGATGTTTTGAAATTTTCTAGTATTTTTTATTTTTTAATTGTTCATGCAAGGGAGCAGGTGAGCTCGGGAGCCGGATCACTTGCCCTGTCCCATACATATATGATACTTTTGGTACTCCCTCTACCCAGATGCATTGAGCGTTTAATGAGCTGCGTGTAGCCAAAGTTCAAGGAAAATGTTCGAAAGAAAGAAAATCAAACTGCGGGTCCCTTTCACTGACGACTAATATTCTTTTGGAAGCGCTATGCGTCATCCGGGAGATGATTTGAAAAGATCAACCGCCTCGCCGACCATTGGATGGAACTCATAATAACAAACTGATTGACCGTCATGCCTTGTGAGGATCAGCCTCTGCATCATGGAAAGAGACCCCTGTTGCAAACATCCCTTAATCGCTTCTTTTCCTTCTGAAAGGAGACCCTTGTTGTAGAAAAAAACCTTCGTTGTTGCCCCGCTTCGTCAGAGCAGCGCCAACCTTTGCAACAAGGATAGTGTTGCACTCAACCTATTGCAACAAGAGGCTTGTTGCAATCACCCCGAAACCTTTTTTCCTTCTAAAACACGACCTCTGTTGTAGAATAAAATCCCTTAACTGCTGCTTGCAAATAGAGTTGGGGAGGTCTTCACCGGCGGGGACCGGTGTCTTCGTCGTCATCACCACAGAGATCTGCGTTGGTCGTCGTCGCTGCAAAATCCATTTGCCGCTGCAGGCCGTGGAGTTGCGTCGCAGCCACACAGATGCAGCCACAACCACCTCCCTAGCCCTAATTGTTCTTCAAAAGACTGACCACTACACTTGAATGGTTTGCAATAAGAGTGGTGTTGCAAACCTGGCCTTGGGTCGGGGTTGTTGCGGGTCGTCGAATTAGATTTTGATCGAACGGTCACCGTGGTTGTCAACGCATGCGCCATATCAACCAGTTGAGCGAAAGTGTTTTTCATAGTTATTAATACATGTTCTGCAACAAAAGTATCATACTAAAAATACTCCTTTGCACTCGGCCGCTCCAACAAATAAATCGATCTACATGGAGCGCTCAACCCACATGATTTGTTGCCGGGGCCTAGCATGTGTGGTAAGATGGATGATTTTGTGCACGTACACGCGAAGGCTGGGTAAGGCATGAGGGCTTCAGACCCACCCAAATCTACACTAATCGCTCCTAATCCACCTAATCCTTAAGAGAGTTGCTGGCCACTTTCCAAAACAGGGCTACCAAAAAGTGAGCGCGCGTGCGAGAGATGGTCATGCCCCCGTTATAGTTTGATTATATACAGGAAATCATAGTTCCTCCATCTGTAAAGAGAATATTTGGAATTTGCGCTGAAATCCGTTAAATGCGTTTTAGCCCCTCTCACCTCCTTATATGTTAATTCCTTTGCGTTATTAAGCCCATCACGAGGCTCATTTTCTCTCCTTCCTTTTATGCCTCTGCCACGCTCATACTAACCAAACCCAAATCATATATCGGATCTTTCTCTTTTTCATTGTGCAGCCACGAGCACAATTTGAGGAGTTAATTCCATGGTTCGTCTAGGATGAATGAGACCCGCATTTCACCCTTTATTTCTTGATTCTAAAGAAGGTTTGTAGAAATTCTACCAATTTCTTGATTGTGTTGGGGATCAAACTCACAAACCACATTGAAGAAATTCGTTAAAATTTGTCCAATGACACAAAGAACTTCCTTCCAAGGAAAAATTTGATTTAGATTGATCTAAGGTGCATGCCATCTCAATTAGTAATTGAGTAGGCTCAACCTTTCTTGTCCTATGTATACAAGCTAATGGATCTAAATATGCGGTTCTTAGGTTCATGGATCTCAATGCACTCCATGCAAGTTTAGTGGTGTCTTGTGAAGTTTTACTCTTTTACAACTAAAAATACGTTCAAACCACATTGAAGAACATGGGAAGTAACAAAATGACCTAAATTTTGTGAGTGGAAGTATTTCAAGTTGCATATATAGCTCACTAGTCCTTTTCCAACAGCTTTGAAGTTTCATTAGTAGAAAATAATTATCTTGTCAGTTAAACAAATGAAAACTTGCTGCATTTTGTTCAAAACAAAAAAGGGAGCAGCTACGCGTCCACCGGCGGATATTAGAAACATCCGCCACATGGAGCTCTGTTGGATCAGCGCTCTGACAGCAGTCGGATCTAACCACCGCGTGTGCATGACCATCTCCTTAGTTCCTGCAACAATCGCTCAGTTTCGGAAACAGATTCCCATGTCCGCCGTCCTGACACAGCTGTGCCCAGCACGGCGCCAGCCCCCACCACCGCAAAATCGCTGTTGCCGGCGCGCAGGGGGAACTAGTCCTTGCCGTGCTCGTCGGAGCTGCTGTTCCTCCTCCGTCTCAGCCTCGCAAGCAGCTGCTAGCTCCAATCCAGCACGACAGCGACAACCTCTCACGCCCGGCGCTTCTTCGGCGTTTTCTGCAAACGGAGCTATGTTTCTGAAACATGCCTCATGTTGCAATGTCTGGCCACTCACTCTTTAACGTCGGGCGCTCCTCCGGCGTTGCAACTCGGGCTATGTTTCTGAAACAAGACCCCTGTTGCAGAAGAAAAAAAAACCTTTACGACCAAAACATTTCTTTTCTTTCTGAAACAAAAGATATGTTGTAGAAATCTTTCGAAACGAGACCCTAATTGCAGAAAAAATAATTCACCTCCTAATTGTTTTTTCTTTCTTTCTCAAACCAGTCTTGTGTTGAGGAAATCTACTGAAACAAGACCCTTATTGCAAGAGAAAGACTGGTCGCGAGGGACTGGCTTGTGGCCAACGTGGCTACTTGATCATGATTGATCTGACGGCTATGTAAGCGGGCATTAGCCGGCTGAAGGATAGCATTTTCCAACAAAAAAACTCCACAAATCAATTAATTCAGTATCAAAAAGGAATCACACACACTATTAGCTCAGTGCCATCTCTTTCATCGATGCGCCTCGAAGATCACAACCAAGGTATCATGGAGAAATACATATTGGCGGATCATGGTCGTAGCGTTGTGGGGAATCAACAATTGCTCATCACCATTGTCGGCCACGGCGGTAATGGGTGTGAAGTTTTGGGTTGACAGCTGCAGTGGTTAAAGCTAAGTCGGGATGGATGCGGGGCGGCGAGGTGAGATGCGAGCTCGGGGTGGAGGTTTTCGGAAGGAGATGGTGGGGATGGGAACGAGGGGAGGGTGGGTTTGGGGAAGGTACCATTAATGCGGACGCGTTATGGGTGAAGACGTGGCTAGAATATTGAGCAGTTTTGGAACAAAACGACAGATTTTGGAATGAATCTCGGTCGTGAGAAGAAAAATGCATCGACTTCTATCCGTTGGTTTGACGGTTGGCTCTTGTCAGATGTCTGCGGGGAAGTGTTTCCCTATTTAAATTGGTGGAATAATGTGTAAAGAAGTAAGATGGTACTATTTAAATTGGTGGAATTATGTGCATAAGCGAAATTGCATAGCTCGACCAGAAGAGGGCATTCAAGGAAAATCAAAATCTGCCCATGGCCCACGCGAGAGGAGGAAGAAAATTGAAAACTGCAATGACAGATAAAACTTACCTGACGGACAAAAGTATTTTTATAGCGCAACCTTATTCGCTGATGATCGTTTTGTATTTTGATCTTATTTAAGACGCAACCTGGTAATCATATTGATAGTGATCGGTTAGAAACTTGTAAATTTGTTCAGTGACTCCAAGAAAAAAAATTTGCTCCACCAATTTAGAAAGGCGACCATATGGTCAAATTTGATTTAGATTGAGCCAAGTGGCATGCCATCCCAATTAGTAAGAGTAGGTTCAACCTTTCTTGACCTATGTATACAAATTAATGGATGTAAATATGTAGTTCTTAGGTTCATGGATCTCACTGCACTCCCTTGCAAGTTTAGTGATGTCTGGTGTAGTTTTACTCATTTACAACTAAAAAATATGTTCAAACTACATTGAAGAACAGGAAGTATGAGAATGAGCTAAATTTTGGGAGTGGAAGTATTTCAAGTTGCACATAAAGCTGACTAGTCCTTTTTCAACAGCTTCAAAATTTCATTAGTAGAAAATAATTCTCTTATCAGTACACAAATGGAAACTTGCTGCATGTTCTTCGAAACAAAAAAGTCCACCAATCAATTAACTCTGTATCAACAAGGAACCCTCAGTGCAATCTCTTTCATCGATGCACTACACATAATTATTAGCTCCGACCCCCAATATCAACCTACGACCTTCAAAAAATTGAGCCAAGAAACCGGCTCATATATCACAGCACTTTGCTCCCTCAAGTTACATGTACAACAACTTCACGAATGAACAACCATATGGTATATCTTCTACAGCAGTCAGTTTCTCTCTACCAGTATACTAAACTGGACACTATCACAGTTTAACGGAGCTGGACAGTCTACCAAAAATGTCACTGAGATTGGTGATGGAAAAATTGCATCCCTGGAGGTGGCTGCAAAGGCCTGAAAGGTGGTGCACCAGGCTGCTGAAGCGTAAACTGCATCGGGGGCGCAACATTCATCTGCATTTGCTGCTGAAGCATCTGCTGTGTAGGTGGTTGAGGCTGTGTCTGCGCCCTTGCTAGGTTCATCATCTGCGGCGGTGGTGGAGGTGGGGGTGGATTCATGGTGTTCATGCTGTATGGCATGCCCATAATTAAACCTCCAGGCTGCTGGACAAAGTGCTGTGGAGGGGCCTGGTAGATATTGTATTGGGGCTGTGGCGCAGAAGCTTGGCCTTGCACAGGAGTTTGCTGTACCAAGATTGTCTGGGGCTGCTGTGCTGCTGTGGTGACCATTGACGGCATTGGTACGAAGGCAGCAGCATTCGCAACGCTTGGGACCTGTGAGGATTGTTCGACTTTCATCCTTTTATCTGAGCGTATCTCAGATGAATTTTCAGCAGCAAACTTGGAAAGTGCAGATTGGAGTATTTGCTGAGAGTTTGATGATGATGCAATCTTGTCCGCGAGGATAGCAGCAGCTGTCTTCTGCTGGCCCTTTACTTGCCCATTAGAGAGTGAATTTCCTGGCTCTACTGATGATGCTAGCTTGGAAGATGGAATGATTGGCTCATTGTTGAGCCTCCGTTGCATGTTGGCCGTTTCTTCTACCATTGCTTCAGCCAACTGTCAACAGAAACATCAAAATGGTATTATTCATAGATGTTACAGATAAGCTACAAGTATCAACCTTCAAAGGTTTGGGAAACATTACCTGCAACTGAGTGCGGACCTTCTCCAGCTCCGATTCCTGAATAACTTAAAAATAAGATTACACAGATCCAAGATGAAGTTGGAAGCCATGGACAAAGTATCAACCTATGTACATGAAAAAGCTTAAAATACATTACTATATTACTGATAAAACAGTAATTCTGACCTGTTCCTGCAATGCCTCTTTCAATTCAGACACAACAGCTGCTCTATTTTCTTCAACTGCTTTGAGCTTTTCGATGCATTTTTTCATGGTAGCCTCCTCATCCTTCAATTTTGTGCAAAGAGTCTCACGACGAGGATCCTCAGCTACAGAGAGAAAGAGAGAATAACATCACAAAACATGCTAAGACGGCCAAGATGGAGAACTCCTGTTAACAAACAGTACCTTTGTTACAGGCACTGTCAACATCCTTCTCCATCTTTCCAACATGACGCATAGATGTCTTGCAGTTTTCGAGGTCAGCATCTTCATCTGCTTGTTCACTGAGAACAGTATGCAACGCAGATACAATTCTCTCTGCAGTTCCTCCAACGCCTAGTCTCTGAAAAGACAACAACAAAACTTGAATAGTTTCTACCCAAAATCCACCGGTGAAATATAGAATGTAGCAAACAGGGAGAAAATCTTACCAGTTTTACAGAACGTGAATCTCTTTTAACAATCTTGATGGATGAACTGTGAGAGCGCTTTTTGGTCATATCTAATACAGGAAGGGGGGCAGTTCCAAGCATCACATCCTTGATGCCCCCAGCACGTGAACCAAAAACTCTCCTTTCTTGCCATATATCAACCTAGAACACAATGGTGCAGTTTTAAAGTAACACATTATGATTATCTTCTAACAACATATAGCAACCAGAGTTAACCAACTATAAGTACAGATATATACTCACCAGCCTAGAGACCGTCTTCTTCCCACGGTCGTCACCCTTTTCAGCTACATCTTTAAGTGTTGTTGGGAGGACCTTCCAGAATTCTTCTACAAACTCGGTGCCATTGCGCTTACTGTTCTGTAGGATGTCATTAGCCAGATAAAGGAAAGGGACCTTTTGTTCATTTCCAGAATTATGGAACTGCTTGGCCCATGTTTGGACAATTAGCTCTGCATCCTTCCGATGGTAAATGCACCAATGCGACAGCGCTAATACAGGGGAAAAGTCAAGGCAACAACAAGATCATGGTAAGAAATATTAAGACAGACAAAACTACCAATTTATGCTCCTGATTCCTGAACATATCAAGATATTAGGTCAAAGAGTACCGTTTTTAAGTAGGCTCTAGTGCTTTACCATAAGCAGTAACATCCAGAGAGCTCCCGTGAAGTAAGAACAAAAAAAGGGCAGAAAACGGACACAAGAATTTGCAATTTTTAGAAGCCACAAAATGCCTTCTCGCCCCCTTCGTGCTTATTCCCATTCAAGGATATATCCTTTCGAATAAGTTAGTGGATATACACAGACATAGCATGGGCGCAAGAACTAAGGAGGACAAATCAAGAAAAAAGGGCGTTCTTTCTACAGAAAGTTGAATATTCAGCGCAGAAAATTTGCAACTCGACACTAAACTTCAGAATCACCAAACAGATCTCTCGAGCGATTTGGGCGACAAAATCAAATCAAGGATACTTTCGATGCACTGCTGCGTGTTGTTGAGCTTGGCGAGCTTGTCGGCGAGTATCTCCTCGCTGAACGCGCTGCTCATGGCCGCCTGCCGTCCGACCCTCGAGTCGTCGTTACGGCGTGGATTTTTAGGCTGTGAGGGAGGTTGCTGGCTGACTGCTAGTAGGAGAGGGGGCGTGGAGACCGCGGCGGCGACAGCGGAGACATCGGCCGCCGAAATCTCTACGGGTGGGTTAGATGTGGATTGGATCGCGAGGTCTAGCCGGCTAGGGTTTGGACTTTGGGAGGGAGGGAGGGAGGTAAAAAAGAGGAGTGTCACTCGAATCGGTTCGGGCGCTTCGCTGCCTCGCCGCCGGGCTGCTCCTCGGTCGTTCTCTTACTGAGTTGTTTATATTTTCGTTTCAGTCAAATCTGCTCTCTACCCCAACCGTCCGATTTCAATCCAGCGCCCGCTGGTGTTCTTCCTCCTAAACCGCATTGTTTTCTTTCGCGCCTAACTCGCATTTGAACAAGTCAAGTTTCTTCTTCCCCTCCGGCGAGGCCCTGGCGAGCCCTCGCTAACGATGTTGTAGTTGCCCGCTGTGTGCAGTCTCGAGCTCGGCGAGTGTCTAATTTGAGCGGCAGCCAAAAAGAAAAGCCCCCCCCCCCACCCGAATTGGCGAACCCTCATCCTCCCCTC